ATTTGCAGACAATTTGCAGACAGTTTGCAGAGAAGTGTAATTACTTCAGATCTCTATAGCAACATCAATTTCCAGTCTATCCTAACGGCTAGAACTGTAGTTAGGTGTAACTAACTGCAGTTAGGTGTAACTAACTGTAGTTAGGTGTAACCACAGTCATCTAACGACATGTCATCATTATTGTCTCTTCTTTTGATGATCCACATTATATTCCGTCATCAGTTGTCTGTTTGTTTTGGTTGTTTACTTGGCTAACAAAAATCAACTCTTTATGTATGACATTTTATATGATTATTTGATATATCATATTATATGATTATTGATAGCCCTTTTTAATCATTATCGTGTTACATCTTGATTTTACATTTTACATTTTACATTTTTACATTTTACATTTTACATTTTTACGGTAATCCGATTTTTGTTCTCTGCAATTTTGATTCAATTTTTCAATTGCTATATTATTTACAAATTTCAATATTTGCACATCTTGCAGATAATATTAATTGTCTATTTATGTAATATATCCAGGTATATGATATTGTTTAACCCGATTTAAAAACAAACGTCAACAGATTTTCCAGCGGCCAAAATTGTGTGCTTACTGCAGCATACTCAAATCAGTGTTAAATTACAATCATGTTAATTGTTATTTGCAAACTTGTTGAAATTTGTTTGTATGTGTTTGTTTGTACGTGCTTGTAAGTGCAATTGTAAGTAAGTGTTGGAAATAATGATAGAAATTATGATGCGTCCCGCCGCGACAAAGTTACAGCAGAGAATTCGTAGGGTTCCGTCATTTGACTATCAATGTTTATTGTTTAATCAAAATCGTCATTATCATTACAAATATTTAAAGCAGCCAGGAAGCCTAAATCGTTGGATTTTGATGCTTTCAAATTGATTGTCTAGACCGGGGGGGTACCCCCCCTCTAGACCGGGGGGTACCCCCCCTCTAGACCGGGGGGTACCCCCCCTCTAGACCGGGGGGGGGTACCCCCCCTCTAGACCGGGGGGGGGGGGGTACCCCCCCTCTAGACCGGGGGGGGGGGGGGGTACCCCCCCTCTAGACCGGGGGGGGGGGGGGTACCCCCCCCCTCTAGACCGGGGGGGTACCCCCCTCTAGACCGGGGGGGGGGGGTACCCCCCCTCTAGACCGGGGGGGGGGGTACCCCCCCTCTAGACCGGGGGGGGGGGTACCCCCCCTCTAGACCGGGGGGGGGGGTACCCCCCCTCTAGACCGGGGGGTTACCCCCCCTCTAGACCGGGGGGGGTACCCCCCTCTAGACCGGGGGGGTACCCCCCCTCTAGACCGGGGGGGGGTACCCCCCCTCTAGACCCTGACACAATTTGTTAAAATATCATATCACGTCCTGTGACTGCTCCCCAAGCTGGTTCACAGAATCTCTTCCTTGTAGATTAGAGGTAATTAAATATCCACGAAGAAGAAGAGGATGTTTCAGTTTGGCATGTTGGAATTCCCAAAGATCGTTACACATTATAGGAAGTGTCTCTCTCCCTGCACACTAGTTACTATACTATACACGATTAAAGATAAACGGCTAATCCAGCGGAAATTGGATAAAGGTGAGAAACAAGTTTTACAGGTTGGATCTCTAAGATTCAATTATGTGACAATCCTCTGTCCTCATCCGAGTGGCACTTCCATGTTTGTTCAATACGTGGTTTTCTTCTTCCTTCTTGGATCGTCGACGGTGAGGTTGAATACCCGGTTCCAGCCTCACATTGTACCTGTTGTTCTCAGAGTGCCATCCGTTATGTTTGCTCAGATATGCTCACACTAACCAGATGGTAACCATGGGTAACCAGGGGTAACCATGGGTAACCATGGGTAACCAAGGGTATTGGGTAACCAGGGGTAACCAAGGGTATTGGGTTACCAGGGATAACCAGGGGTAACCAAGGGTATTGGGTAACCAGGGATAACCAGGGGTAACCAAGGGTATTGGGTAACCAGGGATAACCAGGGGTAACCAAGGGTATTGGGTAACCAGGGATAACCAGGGGTAACCAAGGGTATTGGGTAACCAGGGATAACCAGGGGTAACCAAGGGTATTGGGTAACCAGGGATAACCAGGGGTAACCAAGGGTATTGGGTAACCAGGGATAACCAGGGGTAACCAAGGGTATTGGGTAACCAGGGATAACCAGGGGTTTCAGATCTTTGTTTTCCTCGCTAACCGCTTTTTGTCCTCGCTTGTAGTTGTTCTTTTCGCTAGAATCGCTTGTTTTCGATATATGTATTTACCTTTCTACTAGCCCTGCATCCGGCTATTTTTGGCCACTCATAATCGATCATAATGGTTAGAAAGGAAGTGTTCTAGCAGTGTTAGTGTAAGGAATGGTTAGAAAGGAAGTGTTAGCAGTGTTAGTGTAAGGAATGGTTAGAAAGGAAGTGTTAGCAGTGTTAGTGTAAGGAATGGTTAGAAAGGAAGTGTTAGCAGTGTTAGTGTAAGGAATGGTTAGAAAGGAAGTAGGTTTCTGACACGACTGTTATTATTCAGACAGGCTTACTTTGCAAGTGCCACTCTTAGCACTGTCCCGCCAAAAGCAACCGGCACCACCACATGTTTACTATTACCACATGTTTACTATAGCGCACTGACCGCAAGATTTACCAACAATTCGACCTGTTCTACAATGGCCATTAGTATTATGTATCAATAATTGTTGGTAGACGAATTCTGATTAATAATCTTCCTTGATTTTCCCATGATCGATGCTAAGGGCATGGTTTGTTGCTGGCTGGGTTTGTAAAATGACAAATTTTACTTTTTCTAGAAAGTTAGTTTCATTAGTCTAAGTATGACTTAATCTGGCATCATGCCATCATCATGCTAACATTTCCTTCAGTCGGCTTTCATGCTTATTGCTTAGTATCTGTTCTATTACTCTACTGCTAGATGGTTGCGCTTAGTATCTGTTCTATTAATCTACTGCTAGATGGTTGCGCTTAGTATCTGTTCTATTAATCTACTGCTAGATGGTTGCGCTTAGTATCTGTTCTATTAATCTACTGCTAGATGGTTGCGCTTAGTATCTGTTCCATTAATCTACTGCTAGATGGTTGCGCTTAGTATCTGTTCCATTAATCTACTGCTAGATGGTTGCGCTTAGTATCTGTTCTATTAATCTACTGCTAGATGGTTGCGCTTAGTATCTGTTCTATTAATCTACTGCTAGATGGTTGCGCTTAGTATCTGTTCTATTAATCTACTGCTAGATGGTTGCGCTTAGTATCTGTTCCATTAATCTACTGCTAGATGGTTGCGCTTAGTATCTGTTCTATTAATCTACTGCTAGATGGTTGCGCTTAGTATCTGTTCTATTAATCTACTGCTAGATGGTTGCGCTTAGTATCTGTTCTATTAATCTACTGCTAGATGGTTGCGCTTAGTATCTGTTCTATTACTCTACTGCTAGATGGTTGCGCTTAGTATCTGTTCTATTAATCTACTGCTAGATGGTTGCGCTTAGTATCTGTTCTATTAATCTACTGCTAGATGGTTGCGCTTAGTATCTGTTCTATTAATCTACTGCTAGATGGTTGCGCTTAGTATCTGTTCTATTAATCTACTGCTAGATGGTTGCGCTTAGTATCTGTTCTATTAATCTACTGCTAGATGGTTGCGCTTAGTATCTGTTCTATTTATCTACTGCTAGATGGTTGCGCTTAGTATCTGTTCCATTAATCTACTGCTAGATGGTTGCGCTTAGTATCTGTTCTATTAATCTACTGCTAGATGGTTGCGCTTAATATCTGTTCTATTAATCTACTGCTAGATGGTTGCGCTTAGTATCTGTTCTATTAATCTACTGCTAGATGGTTGCGCTTAGTATCTGTTCTATTACTCTACTGCTAGATGGTTGCGCTTAGTATCTGTTCTATTAATCTACTGCTAGATGGTTGCGCTTAGTATCTGTTCTATTACTCTACTGCTAGATGGTTGCGCTTAGTATCTGTTCTATTAATCTACTGCTAGATGGTTGCGCTTAGTATCTGTTCTATTACTCTACTGCTAGATGGTTGCGCTTAGTATCTGTTCTATTAATCTACTGCTAGATGGTTGCGCTTAGTATCTGTTCTATTAATCTACTGCTAGATGGTTGCGCTTAGTATCTGTTCTATTACTCTACTGCTAGATGGTTGCGCTTAGTATCTGTTCTATTAATCTACTGCTAGATGGTTGCGCTTAGTATCTGTTCTATTAATCTACTGCTATATGGTTACGCTTAGTATCTGTTCTATTAATCTACTGCTAGATGGTTACGCTTAGTATCTGTTCTATTAATCTACTGCTAGATGGTTACGCTTAGTATCTGTTCTATTAATCTACTGCTAGATGGTTGCGCTTAGTATCTGTTCTATTTATCTACTGCTAGATGGTTGCGCTTAGTATCTGTTCTATTAATCTACTGCTAGATGGTTGCGCTTAGTATCTGTTCTATTAATCTACTGCTAGATGGTTGCGCTTAGTATCTGTTCTATTAATCTACTGCTAGATGGTTGCGCTTAGTATCTGTTCTATTAATCTACTGCTAGATGGTTGCGCTTAGTATCTGTTCTATTAATCTACTGCTAGATGGTTGCGCTTAGTATCTGTTCTATTAATCTACTGCTAGATGGTTGCGCTTAGTATCTGTTCTATTAATCTACTGCTAGATGGTTGCGCTTAGTATCTGTTCCATTAATCTACTGCTAGATGGTTGCGCTTAGTATCTGTTCTATTAATCTACTGCTATATGGTTACGCTTAGTATCTGTTCTATTAATCTACTGCTAGATGGTTACGCTTAGTATCTGTTCTATTAATCTACTGCTAGATGGTTGCGCTTAGCAAACATTTCGATTTCTTAAATGCACTAATCGCTTTGCTCATCGCATTTCACTCGCTTACTAATGATATTGGGGTACATTTTTCTCTGGCAATAACAGAAATTTTACCTGGTTTTGCTTCAGCGTGTTGACTTCAGATGGTTGAGAATAGTCACAGCAATGTGCAATCTTTTACGGTAAAAGAGGAAAAAGATGCGTTGAACTTTGACTGTAAAAGTAAGGCTGATGTAGAACTAGCTTCTGGTGGATGTGTTAGTGAGCCCCAATCTGAACTAAACCGTAACCTTCTAGAACTGTTCCTTGATGAGGATGAGCAGGTTTCAGTTCACTCAGTCCTGGCCCAACTGAAGCGTAACGGCATCAGACCATTCTGTGACCCAAGGCTTGTTCAGATGGTGAACAAGCTCTCTATAGACCCTGCTGGTCTCACCATACCTAATGAGATAGGGGTCAAGAAGCTTGTTTCCAAAGAAGAATTTATTGAAGCTTGTTCCTCTTCTAACAACATTCTCAACCAATCCTTGGGCTCCAACCTCGTCATCCCTGATTTCCAAGAATTTAGTAAGGAGTTGAAAAACCTCTTTCACGAACTGTCAGACTTTAAAGGCGGTAAGAATGCAGACTACATTCCACAGCTCTCCAGAGCCGACCCTAACTTGTGGGCTATATCCGTCTGTACAATTGACGGTCAAAGATTTTCTGTCGGGGACACTAACATACCCTTTTGTATTCAATCTTGCTGCAAGGCCCTGAACTACGCTATCAACGTGTCTGAAATAGGGGCTGATGCTGTACATCTGCATCTTGGCAAGGAGCCTAGTGGGATAGGCTTCAACCAGATAGCACTGGATAAGCACGGTCTACCGCACAACCCAATGATAAACCCAGGTGCCATTAGTTGCTGTAGTGTCATACGTCCTCAGGATACTCTGGCGGACAGGTTCGACCATATCACCCAACAGTACAAGACGATGGCTGGGAACGAGTTTGTCGGGTTCAGCAACGCTACCTTTCTTTCCGAGAAATCAGTCGCTGACCGGAACTTTGCTATTGCTTACTTTCTACACGAACACAATGTGTTCCCCAAAGGGACCAATCTGAAGGAAACACTGGACCTCTACTTCCAGCTGTGTTCTGTAGAGACCACCTGTGACTCAGGCTCAGTGATCTGCGCTACCCTAGCTAACGGAGGGGAATGTCCGACCAGTCGGGAGGTGTGCCTGTCTCCGGATGCAGTGAGGAACACCCTGTCTCTCATGTTCTCGTGTGGCATGTACGATTACTCTGGAGAGTGGAGTTTTGAGGTGGGCTTCCCTGCTAAGTCAGGAGTTGCTGGTTCTATCTTCATTGTTATCCCTGGGGTTATGGGGATTTGTGTGTGGAGTCCCCCGTTAGATGAGCTGGGTAACAGTTACCGAGGAGTTGAGTTTGCTAAAAGACTTGCCCAGAAGTTTGCCTTCCACCAGTTTGATAATATCCAAGGTAACCAGACAAAGATGGACCCGCGACGAAACCCAAAGTCGGAGAGCAAAGAGATACAAATCCTAAACCTGATCTCCGCTGCCAACAACCGTGACATGGTGCTTCTTCACAAGTACTTCGAAATAGGGATAGACTTCAACATCTGTGACTACGACAACAGGACCCCCCTTCACCTGGCAGTGGCTGCGGATCATCTCACTGTGGTTAGGTTCCTGGTTGAGAAAGCTAAGGTTAATGTTAACCCCATTGATCGGATGAGAACCACTCCGATGGATGAGGCCTTGCGGAGTGGTTCTCATGCTGAGTGTACCAACCAGGAAGTTATCAAGTATCTCCGCAAAAAGGGAGCTAAAACATGTGAGCAGCTCCTAATGGCGGCTAGTGTCCAGTATTAGTCAGAACTAGAGGAGTTTTGTTAAATTGTTCTGTGATCTGACTTAGTACCTGATCCCCCCGGGTCTGATGAACTGCCAGTCTGAACAAAATAACTTGTAATTATGGGGATATCACTGAAAATGGCTATTTTTACAATTTTGAAATCTTTTAAAACTTTGCATGCTTCTCAAACTACAGGGTGGGCCAAAAGTCAGTGTGCAAACATTGGGTCTTATACCTCCGCCGTGTTTTATATTTGAGAGCTGTTGCTTTGCAGATGGCATACTGTACTTACTGGTTCGAGGATTCCGTCGTCAAAATTTGAAAATTCGAATATTTTAGACCACGCCCATTCAATATTAAAACACCTATATTGTTTTCTCTGAACATACTGAACGCCTAATTTTTTCAGAGACGGTAGATTATCAAATGTTGCATATGATCTGAAAACATGAGGCAAAACGGATTAGGAATGACGAAGTTATCAAGCATTTTGTGTATCTCGTTAACAAAATTGACTGGGTGATTATGTGACACCGTGACACGACACCTTAATTGGGCACCCTTAACAATTCTCATAATGTTTAACGGGGTAGTTAACGGGGTCACCTTATCACGTGATTAGGTAAACCAATCACCTGATCACACGTAATGAATAAACTCGTTATGCTTCATTTTTTTTTATTTGAAAATTCAATTAATTATTATATATATAAATCAAGCGTTACATTTCAGCCATGCAAAATTACAATGACATATTTTGATATACTAATTGATAAATGGAACTGCAATATAAGTTGCTTAATGTTTGACCGGATGACAACTAACTAAAAGAGAAAAATAAACTTGATTACATAATAATTAATTCGGCTGAACCAACACATAGCAAGAGCCACATTAACGTTGGGGCCGTCGTTAATATCTCGGTCATCTGAGAAGCTACAGTTCTAATTCTTTCAGGACAAACGTAATTCGAATGGCCAAACACAATTCAATAATATTTAGCTTGATCCGACTATCCAAACTATCAAATAAATGTGAAAATGAACCTCCATTTGAAAAAAATGAACGCGAATATTTTTCGAGTTGACAAATTCCTCAAACCAGTGGTGGTACTAAGTCATACCAGAAGGAAGTATTTCAATTGGGCACTCAGTGACTAAGCTATTAAGGCCAACGTTTGCACACTGACTTTTGGCCCACCCTGTATTATCAATGCTACAGTTGACTCAGAGTTGCAACTCTAAGACTAATTTCTAGTCTGATCAGAGAGATGATAATGAGAACTTTTCTTTGAAAAGTAAATTTATGAATTCGTGACAGAATTTTTTTGGACGCATTTCAATCAATGAAATGAAATTTGTAAGTGTCGTGTTGTTCGTGTTTCTCTTGTTCGTGTATTAATGTTGGTGGCATGTTTTTTATTCTAAACTATTATCACTTGTCTATCACTTATCAGGGTTAATCTGTAATCGACCCTGTTCATTAGGAAAATTCGCACGAGATGGACCACGTTTTTCCCAATTTAACTTTAGAAGATTGTCACAGGAAGAACTTTTTAGATAAGCATATCATATTTCACGTGTCTATAGTTCAACTTATTAAGTTTCGAATAATAACATTTTTGAAGCATTTATTCGAGGGCAAATTGAGGCTAACGAGTCATTTTACATTTTGTTTTCTAATGACAGCTTCCAAGCATGCAATAAAAGTTGTAACGTGTTTAATCTACCCATCAGAGCGAACTCTTTCAGAATCCGAAGAGAAGAGAGAACTTGTTCGCTAATTGAGGGGAAATGAGACTAACAAGTCATTTCTAATTTTTGAATTATGTTTGAACAATAACATCCTTAATTAACTATCCTTTGACCTGGTATACATTATATGGATACTTTATAGGTCGATGGTAGACTCCACCTACCCTTTCTGTCTTTTGATGGTAGATGGAGGATAAAATAAGGCTAACTATCAAGTTTTTGTTCATTACTTGTTCTACTGCTTCTTCGGAATAGCCCTTCAAATTGTTTGAAAGCCTCATTTCACCCTCTCAAAAGGTGGTTAGCCTCATTTTCACCCCAAATATTTAAAGCTTAGATCTCGATCAAGTATAATCACTATGGATTATACTTGCAACTTGGATATCATGGACTTAACTTGAGAAAGTTCTTTTTTGAAAGTGATGAGGCTAATTCGTTAGCCTCAATTGTCCCTCGCAGTTCAATCAATCCTCATCAGCTATGAGGTCGCCGAACATCTCATTTTAAAGCCGTATCGATTTTTTATACACATATCAAAAATCAAATGCGTAACTAAAACAAAAATGGAATTACAGAAGTTTTTAATTTTTTGTTTTAAAAAACGAACTTTAAGGGTTTTTCTAATGACTAGGGTCAATCGTCCTTCACCCTGGCATGTATTTCCAATTTTAATTGGTTGAATAACTAATAAGTTATCAGAAATTTGTTCCAATGAGCGATATTTACTATTTTTCGGTCCTTTTATTGACGGTCCTTCTTTGAGCAATCTTCCCTCTCCTGCTTTTTAAATTAGGACCGTTTGGCTGCGTAAACTTTGGGCCATTTATACTCATCTTTACCATTACCAACCCTAATTTTGGATAAAGATGAAAGTTTCCATAGTAACCAGGTCTTACGTGTGTGTGATTCTTTTATGTCATGTATAACTTGGTAGTAAGACAAAGAATGGAAATGTAATCATCGTTCTAGAAAGAACTCAATATAACGACAATGAAATTGTATATTATATATATATTTACAACATTGAATGAGTTGATTTTCTACCTAAGTCTATAGCAATCATTTATGGCGTAATTTTCTCAAATACTGGTAGTGGTATTGGTAGTTAAGTTTAGAGACACTGGTGTTCTTGATCTATAAATAGATTTAAATTGCTTTTTAATGGAGCTTAAATATACATAAATAGCTGGGAATCCGTCTTGTGATTGGGTATCCTTTCTGTCCATTGTCTTTGTTAAACTAAGAAATACAGCAAATGCATTATTAGGAGTTTGTATCTATAATCTCTAACATGAAAGGTATCGAATGTCTGTCTTAACTACAGCTCGAGCTTAGGAACAATCGTATCTGGCAGAATCCTGATGGGTACTGGTCTGTCCACGTTGGTACCCCCCCCCCCCCCCCCACGTGCGAACCTTATGTTAGATATTTAGCTGGACTAGAAATAGTACTATTCCTTAATCTCCTCATAATATGATTAGATAATGCTGATGCAATTATAAAGCCAGGTTGGAGCCAGTCAGTTGCGATATGAACTACAAGATTCCGTTAAACCTCGAGAGTAAAACACGTCCTTGTAATATTTTATTTTCCAAATTTTTGAGATCGTTTAATTTGAAATACTGAACTTGTTATACTGCCCTAGTGATGACTGAAGTTAACGTGGAAGCGTACCACATGGTAGTGCCCCAGATCAGCATTAACGACAACTTCTCAACTAAAGAATCAATCCCCAACTTTATAGTTTCCACGTCACCGGTACTGGAAAACCAGGTCCTTGATGGTGTGGCAACCCTTTCTCTGAAGAATGATGACACCAAGGACATCAGTCCTACACTTCTGAACTTGTTCACAGACGACAATGGTGATCATGTCATGGTACACAAGGTGCTGGCACAACTGAAGAGGAATGGTATCCGCCCATTTACAGATATCAGACTAGAGGAAATGATGAACAGATTGTCAGTAGATCCCGAGGGACTGACTATACAGAGTGAGATTGGTGTGAAGAAAACCGTGTCAGTTGAGGAGTTTAAAGAGGTTAGTCACAGCTGCGCTCTTCTTCTCAACAAAGCTCTCAGCTCAAACATGATTATTCCGGATTTTCAAGGATTTTGCAGTGAGATTAAGAATATTTGGGAGGATTTGAAGAAGTGTCGAGGTGGGAAGAATGCTGATTACATCCCTCAGCTGTCCAGAGTAAACCCCAACTATTTGGGGATATCAGTTTGCACTATTGATGGTCAGAGGTGCTCTTTTGGTGACACAGATATACCCTTCTGTATTCAGTCGTGCAGCAAAGCACTGAACTACGCTATTAATGTAGCAGAACACGGTCCTGACTTTGTACACCAGTACCTGGGTAAAGAGCCCAGCGGAGTTGGATTTAATCAGATAGGACTAGACAAGAACGGTCTGCCTCATAACCCCATGATCAACCCAGGGGCTATCAGCAGCTGCAGTATTTTGAAGAAAGACGAGTGTCTTGCAGATAGGTTTGATTTCGCTACCAGTGAGTACAAGAAAATGGCTGGCGAAGAGTTCATTGGTTTTAGTAATGCCACATTTTTGTCAGAGAAGTCCGAGGCAGACAGAAACTTTGCTATCGGGTACTATCTGAAGGAGCACGGAGTATTCCCGGAGAACGTGAATCTGTCAGAAACTCTAGACCTGTATTTCCAGCTGTGTTCTGTGGAGTCTACAGCAGACTCGGCTGCTGTGATCAGCGGCACTCTTGCTAACGGCGGAGTCTGCCCCACTACTAAGGAAGTGTGTGTCACTGCGGACGCTGTGAGGAACACTCTGTCCCTTATGTACTCCTGTGGCATGTACGACTACTCCGGAGAGTGGGCCTTTGAAGTGGGTCTTCCCGCAAAGTCAGGGGTTGCTGGTTCTATCTTTATTGTAGTACCCGGAGTGATGGGCATATGTGTGTGGAGTCCGCCACTAGATGAGCTTGGTAACAGCTACCGGGGTATTCTGTTCGCAAAGAAACTGATTGAGAAGTTCGCGTTTCACCAGTTCGACACAGTCCAAGGAGATGTTAAGAAAATAGATCCTCGACTACAGATTCGCCAGGAGACGAGAGAGATGCAGATCAACAACATGCTGAGTGCATCAAGTAACAATGACCTGGTCCTCCTGACCCGGTATATTGAGAGTGGGGTAGACTTCAACATGCCCGACTACGACAACAGAACAGCACTCCACTTAGCAGTGTGTAACGGCCATCTCAACGTCGTCAGGTTCCTCGTTGAGAAGGGTAAGGTTGATGTCAACTTCCTTGATAGATGGCAGAGCACTGCTCTCGACGAAGCTTGTAAGTACGAGTTTGAAGATATCAGAAGTTATTTAGAGAAGAAGGGAGGTCTGGAAGGAGATGTTATTTTGCAGCGAGCTACGATGCAGTACTGATGGAGCTGGGACTTAGTAACCCCTTAGTAACCCCTTAGTAACCCCTTAGTAACCCCTTAGTAACCCCTTAGTAACTCCTTAGTAACCCCTTAGTAACTCCTTAGTAACCCCTTCTTACTTTCTTAGTAACCCGTTCTTAGTAACCCGTTCTTAGTAACCCCTTAGTAACCCCTTAGTAACCCCTTCTTACTTTCTTAGTAACCCCTTAGTAACCCCTTCTTACTTTCTTAGTAACCCCTTAGTAACACCTTCTTAGTAAACCCTAAGTAACCCCTTCTTAGTAACCCCTTAGTAACCCCTTAGTAACCCCTTCTTCGGGGGAAATAGTGAGTTAAAGATAGTTTTTAGGTGTGCTATCAACAAAACGCACTCAAACATTAGGATTTAATTTTATGAAATGGTTCCAGAGACTGAGAGACAGATTCCAGCTTTAGGTAGATGTTAAATTAGCACATTAAAGTACTACACTATAACTATACAGTCAGACCCTGATTAAGAATGGTTTTTATCCAGTTTTGTCTTGATTTACTGTGATCTATTTGACTGTATGATATTTTTAGAGGCAAACTCATGTTCATGGTTCGAGTAGAAATGTGATCATCACAGAGCTTTCCCATTGAGCTTCTGAAACTGGAAGAACCTCTGTCTATATACACATAATAACTGTAATGCGATGGTAAAATATTTTCGTGTCTAATTAGTAATTAGCCAATGGGATGCCTATGTTGAGTTCCATGTCTGTATTTTAGTTTGCTTCTAGGAACTTGTGGCCTTCAGCTGTCATCGCCCTGGTTTTTATTTTCAATGGAAAATCATGATTTCGTTGTATCATAATTCAGATCGATAGTGTTTATCAGTAATCTCAGTGTTTTTACTTTAGTGAAACAAATAAGCTTTTCTTAGTAGCATTCTCGTAGTAACAAAGTTTTAAAATATTATTGGCATGTTTTTGTGTTAGTTTTTGGTTGGGAGGTGAACCATATCAGCTTTCAGTATTGACTAATCAAAAACCAGAACTAGTGTCCACCTGTACAGTTTCGGGTTTGTGATCAGTATCTTCAAGACAATAGCGAAGTATTTTTTCTGGCTACTGTATCAGTATAATTTAGTATTTGGTTGCTTTAAATACTGTTATTTAGGAAACTAAAAGTACATACAATATACATGCTACTCGGTTCGATGCTAACTAAAAGTATGTAGTTGTTAGTTAGAAAATTAAAAGTATTTAGTATTTAATTAAAGTTGGTCTCAAGCCCCGGTATTTTAACAATTTTCATTTTGATATTTAGTTCTGCTACTAAAATTCTGTTAAGTTTTTGTTATCTAATGCTGCTTGTTTCAATGTATAGGTTTATTTACTTACTTAAATGTGATTTTTGGGCGTCTGAAACAAAAATTCAAAAGATTTCGTATCTCAATTTCTTGTTGTAAAAGCATATTCAAAAGGACGCTCAAAAACACAGTTTGTTGTACTAGAAATGACCATGCTTAGGGTCAAATTAGCGACTGCATGGAATTGGCAATCTTCAAGAATGTTATAGAAATTTTATTTTATATTTACTGATATGTAAATATTTGTTTTACTAGTAAAACCGATTACTCATTAAAATTTAATCGATTAGGACACAAAAGCGTTGCAAAATAGGAAAGACACTGTAATGAATCATGTCCTGTTGGAGGATAGGTCCGACGTTGGATTTTAAATTTTAGTGTGTAACACTAAAGTGGATGTTTTCAACGTCGTTAATTTTCCTTTAATGAGCAATCTTGCTGACTATGAACCTGCCACAAAAAAACAGGTGACAGCAAGTAAACCACCTTCGGACTTGTGTCCAATCATAGGAAATAAGGAAACTCAACTAGTTTAAGCCTCAAGGATCACCACTAGAATGATGGTAGACTCCGCCTCTTCAGTATCCATGCCATGATTAGGTTAATCCAGTCAATGCCTCAACAATCTTTATTCTGTGAGGACGGACGTGACTTGTTGCAGTAGGAGTTAATTTGTTGATAATAAAATTGTTCTGTTGATAAAAGTAATACAAATTTGTCAAGACGGTATAGATCCCCACCAATCTGGTAGCAGCAGCTCATAAACTTTCCCATCAATCTGTCTATTCGCGATGTCGTCAGAGAATTTGCTCTTAACGTGAACTAATTTTAATTTCATGGAAATGGAGCTCCATGCGCTCGCCTCCTTCACTTGACTGTTGAGTTGTTTCGGTGATCATTGGATTTTCTAGGCAACATATTTATATTAGTTTTCGAATATTACGGATGGCAAACGACAGTTCAAAGTTAGGAAAGATGGACAAATCTTCAGAGAAGGAGGATGAGGAAGAGATTGAAGAGGGTTCTGGTAGAAGAGAAAACATGCTACACACAGTCGAGACTCGTGAAAGAATAAGGACATTGAGTTTGGAAAGCAGACATCCAGATATGTTATTCTCTGACCTTGGATACGATTCTAACTCCGAGCTTTCCAGTTCCACTGACTCTAGTAGAGGTTCTGCTCCACCTCACCCTCAGTCCACTGACTCTAGTAGAGGTTCTGCTCCACCTCACCCTCAGTCCACTGACTCTAGTAGAGGTTCTGCTCCACCTCACCCTCAGTCCACTGACTCTAGTAGAGGTTCTGCTCCACCTCACCCTCAGTCCACTGACTCTAGTAGAGGTTCTGCTCCACCTCACCCTCAGTCCACTGACTCTAGTAGAGGTTCTGCTCCACCTCACCCTCAGTCCACTGACTCTAGTAGAGGTTCTGCTCCACCTCACCCTCAGTCCACTGACTCTAGTAGAGGTTCTGCTCCACCTCACCCTCAGTCCACTGACTCTAGTAGAGGTTCTGCTCCACCTCACCCTCAGTTCATGAGACAGGTTCATGGCCCGTATGAAGATACCCGAAGTGTGCAGTCTCTACCTCTTGATGTGATTCGTGAGGGGTCCAGTCAAGACAGCTTCGAGTACTGCGCTACCACTCCGAAGGAATCTGGATGGAGTATTGCGATGCAGAAATATAACGAACAGCTTCAACAATCAGCTGCTTGTCTTCCGCCTACCTGCATAGACAGACACCATCTGCAAGAATTTGTGGCCGCTGGTATGGTAAACATCAAGAAGTTCATTTCAGCCCTCGATAAGACAGGTATTAACGTCTTCAAGGATATTAGATTTCAGACTCTAATGGATGCTCTGACCGCTGAACGCTCCGTGACAGATTCCGATCAGATTCCTGTCTTGAAGTCGATACCTCTGGAGGAATTTGAGCAAATATGTCGACCCAGTGCCAGCCTCATCAACCAGGCCCTGTCAGGCGAACTTATTTTACCCGAGTTTGGGTCATTCTGCCAAGACGTACGACGACTCTATAGCCGTTGTAAAAGTATAAAAGAAGGAGAAACTTCCAAACACATCAAACAGCTTGAACGACAAGCTCCTGACTTATGGAGTGTGAGCATCTGTACGGTTGATGGACAGAGGTTCAGCGTGGGTAACCACACCACCCCCTTCTCCATGCAGAGCCTGAGAGACGTTTTGATATACACACTTGCTATCACGGAGTGTGGACAGGAAGAGGTTCACTCTCATGTTGGCAAGGAGCCAGCTGGAGATGTCCACGACTCTCTGGTCCTGGATAGAGATGGTCTTCCTCATAACGCTATGATCCCTGCTGGCGCTCTCGCAGTGCTCTCCCTCATCAAACCCAACTTTACCCTCCCTGATAGATTCGATTATCTGTTCGGTATCTACGAGAGATTAGCAGGATTTGAGGGAATCGACTTCTCCAACGCTACCTATCTAGCCGAGAAGATGGCAGCAGACCACATTTACTCTATAGCTTACCATCTGATGGGACACAAAGTGTTGCCCACACACTGCAAACTCCAGCAGACAATAGATCTGTACCTCCAGTTAAACTCTATCGAGTGTACCACAGACTCAGCTGCTACCATAGCTGCTACCCTCGCTAACGGGGGTGTCTGTCCTTTTACTGCTGAGGCTGTCTACTCTCCACAAGCGGTCCGGAATGCTCTCTCACTTCTACATTCCTGTGGTGTCCGCAAGATATCAGGTCAGTGCCCTTGTTAAGATCTCCACATTGTGTTAACGAAACTGATCCGAATTTACACCAGGAATTATTTACCTTTCTCCCTTAGGTCAGTGGTCCTTTGATGTGGGTCTCCCCGCTAAGTCTACAGTTTCCGGAACTATAATGATAATAGTTCCTGATGTAATGGGGGTAGTGGTGTGGTCTCCTCTACTCGACAAGTGTAAAAACAGTGTCAGAGGTATCGCCTTCAGCAGAATGCTCACTCAATTATTCTCCTTCCACAGTTTTGAGAACTCATCCCCTCAACTCACTACTAAACCTAATCCTGTACGGAGGTCTTGTCATGAGAGCAAAGATGTATGTACTTTTATATATTGTACTTATTCTTGTGAAAAAGGGGATATTGACTTTTATAATCGGTTAATTGTGTCAAGCGGTTATTGCTTATAAAACAAACTCACAGGTACAACTGGTAAATCTGCTGATCTCAGCTAAGAAAGGTGACCTACCTCTGCTCATCAGGTACTACGAACAGAAAATAAACTTTAACTGGTCTGACTATGACGGCAGGACAGCTCTACATTTCGCTATAGAGGGAGGACATCTTAACATTGTCAAGTTCCTGATCGAGAAATGTCAGGTAGAACTAGAACTTGTCAATATGATATCCAGCTCACTGTCCGCCCGGCGTCCAACCTCCTTAGTTACCAATGTACCTCCTTAGTTACCAATGTACCTCCTTAGTTACCAATGTACCTCCTTAGTTACCAATGTACCTCCTTAGTTACCAATGTATCTCCTTAGTTACCAATGTACCTCCTTAGTTACCAATGTACCTCCTTAGTTACCAATGTACCTCCTTAGTTACCAATGTACCTCCTTAGTTACCAATGTACCTCCTTAGTTACCAATGTACCTCCTTAGTTACCAATGTACCTCCTTAGTTACCAATGTACCTCCTTAGTTACCAATGTACCTCCTTAGTTACCAATGTACCTCCTTAGTTACCAATGTACCTCCTTAGTTACCAATGTACCTCCTTAGTTACCAATGTACCCGCAGTTAGTATCCAACAATATTACCACTCTGCTCCATAGAACAACCATTTTCTCTGTACAGGTGGATGTTAGTGTAGAGGACAGATGGGGACACACACCTCTAGACGAAGCAGTGAAGAAAGGGGACAGCAACACCACCAGATACCTTCTCCTTCATCACAACACCATGCTGCCGCACAGATCCTGTCATGCAACCTTGTGAGACAAAACTCAGATAGAAATTCAAATAGAAACGTGTGACTTTGTATATCTTGAACCGCAAATCTAAATTACCAGGATATTCATGTCAATGCTATAGGGTTTCTTGATTGTGACTTATGACGTCTGTCCTTTTAGACAGATTTTCGATGCCAAAACCTGACATTTGCTTCTGTGATTATACCATATAATATGCCAGGTCCAAAGTGACAGGTTCTTTTGAACACTCTATTCGATGACTTAATTTAGTTTTGGCTTTTGAGGTTAAATAAATATTCGAACATTTCTCAACTGGCGCTCTTAGTTTTCTGAATTGTCGAATGAAGTGCATATTGAATATGTCATGTTCTTATCAGTTTAAAAGAAGCACACCGACGAACGTGGTTGTGGAACGGCCGTAGGAAGTATTTAGTAATATCATGTTATAACTCGTATACCAGTATAGTGTTTCACTTTTTCGTGTTAGGGGTACCAGTCTCGTTGCAGTTGTATATTTGTTTAGGTCATGTTGACCGACTTCATTCATTATCTTTAAAATTCTGTCATAGTCCGACGTTTCGAATTTACTTATTTAGTGTGCTATTCTTCAGTTTGTCTGTGTGTATAAAATGAACTCTATGTACATGGCGCTAACTGCGCCGAGTGCACAAATTGCAAAGATGGACGGTGAGAGACTCTCGAAAAGTGACCCTGTCAACCTCTCCCGACACCCAAAGATCCTCAATCTTTCAAATTCTAACAGTTACAGTGACATTAACAAGTGAGTGCAGTTGTAGTCGTAATCCTTAAATATTGTTTACTTGTACAATGATTTATTCAGTTGCTAGACTAGATAAATTAAATTAATATTTGGCGATGATATAACTTAACGAGCCGGCAAATTCTTCAAATAGCTGAACAAGTTAGTTCACTGTCTGCTGGTCGTGATCCTTTGTTTTCTACTCAAGTTCAGGAATGTAGTCACTAGTCATGTTTTGGAATGTAGCCAATATCCTATTGTAAACAATTCTAAGAAAGGGCTTCAGCTCATCAACAGCCGTGCATTAAGATCAAAAATGCTGAGTGTAGATCAGATGTTTGAGCGATTTATTGAAGAGGTTTGTGAAAATATTCGTCTCAATTCCTGAATGTAGACAATATCAAACATCAAATTCTATGAATGAGCTTCTTTCTTCAATCTGATTGATTCAACTTCAACACAATCATAATGCATATGTTTTACGACTTTTTTTAGGAAACATTGTGACCGATAGCCCTCGGAATTAAATTTTAAATCATATTTGACCCATCTTCCTTCTCGCCCACCCTACTAGTACTAGATTAAACTTTAAGGGCCGGTGAACCATGCCTGACCTGTGGCTAGTTTAACTTTTTTATCAAGACACCTATTTTACTTCGGTGTATTCCAGCAGCCACATTGTTACACAAGTGCAACCAGTCAATTACAGGAAGCCGAAGGATTTGTTTTTAGCCAGTGACGGTTAAGGTAGTGTGTACCATACTTTTTTCGCCCGAGACTTTGCTGCGATGTGCAGCTCCTCATTTAACCCTCACACCCGATTTCTCAAGTATTCGGCTGAGTAGACCGGGGGGCTGCATAGACCACTCAGGATCCTTAGCTGAACGTCAACGACGCTCACCCCACGACCAGGCAGACAGTGGGATTTGAACCCGCAACCTCACGATTGCAAAGCTGGCGTTCTAACCAACTGCGCTACCTGACCGTTCCAACTGCGCTACCTGACCGTTAAAAGGTAGAAATGCACTTATTTTTAAATGACCTGGTAGGTTGGTACCGCATTTTAAAGTCTCTATAGTAAACCACATGATCCATTATTTTAACCGTTGGCTCATAGGATGGGTTCAGAGTCACGTCAATGCGCAGAAATTGCTAATGAAGTAGCTATAAGAACAATGGAGGTGGACAATTTAACTGAAATATCATTTAACGTTGATTCCCAATAATTTCCATTTCAAAGTGCACGCAAGAGATACTGAGAAATTTGAAGACTTCCTCTTGGAATGGTGTGCTTTGTTGATGGTGTGCCATTCCCATCAGATTGACCAAGAGGAAAAAACTTAATAATAAAAAAAGTTGCGTAAAAAATGTTCATTGAAAAATGTAAATTTACTCGTATGTTAACTTGCTGTAAAACTCGGCAGACTTTTTGATGCACAAAGGTCCCGTGACAAAAGAGCGCATTATACACAGTGGGACTACAGTCTACATAATCACGTATTGAGTTTAATTACCATGTAGCACGTGCGCTATGTGGGACTCTGCATTGGTTGCTAGGTATCTTGTGTTCATTGTGCACTAGTCACGTGATATGGCGAGGGATGGGCTATTGGTGGTGGCTGGTGTCTGCGTGTAGTTGCTCATTGGACTACTTTAACAGCTGGTCTTCTGTATACGTTACACTTCGTACACCTTACTAAATTTGTTCACTTGATTAGCAAGTCAATCTAATCACTTTCTCGTGCTCTAAGACTACACAAGACACACGTTCCAGTTCTATGTTTATCTGCTGGTCTGTAGTTTTGTAGTTTAGTTTGTGATAAAGGACGCCGCCCTGACTAGCAGTATTCCTCTGACACGGCTACGTGACTCACTGAGGCGAGGCGTAGCCGAGGTTAACAGAAGTGTAAACAGTGGAGACCCAACATTACAGACTCTTCACACGTTACGGGATACAGTCCACCGGATAGTTCACGATACAGACCTCAAGAAGGGGAACCCCAATGTTCATTTCGCGTTCAATGTCAATGAGCCAGAGGAGCTGCACAATAGTCCTGAAAACAATACTCCTGAGAACGGTAGTGGAAGTTCCAGTTCCAGCCAGGACTTCTATGACTCTTCTGATTCGGGGGAATTTTCCAGGTGCGTTGGTTGTTACCGATAACATTTTGTTGCCGTAGCATCCCTGAACAATAAATGATTATTTATACATTATACAATGGTCGCCGTTTTCTGGTCTGAAGACGAGACGAAGGATTTCTCATCGGGTATCGGTCTTAAGTGTTTTTGACTTGACTGATCGTTATAAACCTTAAAACCTAGGTATGCTTATATTGCAATAGAGTTTCCAGTTCAGGCTATGCTCATTCCTCTAGCCTTAAAGCATGCAATAGAAACCCGCCAAAAACATCTATATACAGTAGTAGTAAATATATCGGCGGCATAAACAGAAGTATTTATTACGGTACGTGACGCTTAGCCATACTAGTTAAAATATTTCCATCTCATCGACCACTGCAATATTAAGAAAAGGTATTAACTCATTATTATCTGTTTCTGAGTATAATCAGAGCTTTCGTACATACTCGTAAGTAGATTTACTGCTTATGCACAGTTACTGTAAGTGTACTTACACTAATAGATGTTCCGGAGTCTTTTAAAAGACGTCTCCAATGATCTTTATTTAATTTTTTTTAATTGAGTTAATTACAGTAGAATAAATTGTTTGTGGGGCACCCACTCTACCTCGATACCTAAGTAAGAAGGCCAACTGCAACTGGGCTGACGTCTAATGAGGTGTAGGGATGAGCTTATACATTATACATTTAAACATTATACATTATACATAACATTATACATGTTATAATTGAACTATATTCTGGGCCAAGTTCAGATATATGCTCCCAGAGGACGAAGCCTTGTGGACGGCGACATGAGTTTGTTGATTTATTGAATACGTTGATTTTACTGACGATAACTTAATAAGTACGAATAAATACACGATTACACGATTTATTTGTTATATACAGGAATAATAACAATTATAAAGTTAAAATATCTTACTTCCCTCTGAAGTAGAACACTAACGTCTAACAGTTGATGAGAGAGCTTCAAACATGGCGATGGAGGGAAGCGGTGGCTCACCGCAGGGAGGTAAATTAATACCTGTATCGCGATGGTAAATTTGTATGATATGAAATCTCAAGTAAAAATGAGATCTCAAGTTAAAATACAAGTAAATCGAACGATTGTTTAATTAAATAATAAGCGGTCTTTAAATAATAAGTGGTCCCCCCCCCCCCCCCCCCCCCCCCCCCCGAGTGGTCAGGAATGGGTCATGGAATTTGGAGAATGTTGGCATAGGGCGACATCATGTGGAGCTTATTCAATTTTAGAGGGTCCTCCTTTACAGATGAAATACCCAATGTTGGCTTCTTAAATCTTAAATTTCGATGGCCGGGTAAATTCGATGTTCATAAATAGAATAAATAAAGGAAAGAACTAAGCATAAGAATTGTTCGGTTATTCTAAAGAATTACCAATTGTACGTGTGGGGAATAATATTTAAATTTCACGACTCTCAGTAATCAATATATTTATGAAGGAGCTTTGAGAGCATGGTCTCTATTACTATACGAGTCAAATTAACACGAGTCCAGCTCATTTCGTCACACGTTAAAGTTGCTCAGGTAACATGTTATAAGCCTTTACTCATCGTTAGGCTTCTTAATGTTAAGCTGAACTGTGGATTTGATCAGTTCATTTTAGTTGCTTCTGAAATTGTTTGGAGACATCGATAATTTTGATATCTTAAAATTTCTTCTTTTTGCAATCAGTTTAATATTGTTGCAGAGAAAACATCTCATATCTCAAAGTACTCAAACTATCATGGAAAGATCAAGCTCCTCCAGTGCATTCGAGCGGACAAATTCAACCCCTTATTATAGCAGGTTAACCTTATAAAACACAATTTATGTCGTTCAACGTAGACTAAATCTACATGCAGAGATGTTTCTTTTGGGGAACCTAAAACTATATGTTTTTATTATATTGACGAAGTTTTGAGCCTGAAAACAAATGTTGCAGTTACAAATGTTGCAGCTACGCTAATATGCATCGATACTACCTTGAGCACGACAAATTTAGTCTACCATAAATGTAGTCAAACTTTTGACTAAAATAGTTTGTTGTTGTAAACCAAATTTCATGAGACTAAATTTTTCGGCGACTTATTCTAGAGGAGACCAAAATTTCAGTAGAGCATTATTATCTGATGTTATTGAAATTCCTGAGTAATGCATTGCAGCTTAATCTGTAATGCTCAGACGGGGTAGACTAAATTTATCGTTCTTAAGGTAAATATAAATGGAATGGAAAATGGTCTCGAAAAGTCGAAAAATGTGACTAAAATTGTTGCAGACAAAAAATTTGCGAAATTTGTGACTAAATTTGTGACTAAAATTATGGTAACCAAATTTATTGTGAACCAAATTTATTGGCCCTAAGGTAACAAAAAACACGCGCGCTCGCAGAAAAAGCTTGTTTATTGAATTTACATTTCTATGGCGGATGTCTCCGGCGTGGTGTAGGGGCTAGCATCTGTGGCTCTCACCCACAAGACCCGGGTTCGATTCCCGGCGTCGGAAATTATTTTGATGTTTTTTTTTCGTAATTTAACGAGATCGAAGAAATATATCCAGAATTGGTGAAATTAATAGATTAATAATACATATTAAGTATCTGGACATATATTTCTGTTGGTTTATAAGCAGTGAACGTCGTTATATTGTAATGTAGATTGTACACAACGCAGATCCCCTCAACTCGAACGTGATGAAAATATTTTGAAGGAAGTAAATTCACTGACAGTAAGTTATCAGGGAACAGTACGTGTTTGTCACTCGCCGTATTTAATACATTGTGCTGTGTATAGTCTGCCTGTTGAAACAGCTCATATTCATGTTTCGCGTGTACAAATTAATTAATCTCATGTTACACAACACCCCGCACTTAGCGAGATGAGGCGCTGCACAGTAGTCTCATTGTACACAACACCCCGCACTTAGCGAGATGAGGCGCTGCACAGTAGTCTCATGTTACACAACACCCCGCACTTAGCGAGATGAGGCGCTGCACAGTAGTCTCATGTTACACAACACCCCGCACTTAGCGAGATGAGGCGCTGCACAGTAGTCTCATGTTACACAACACCCCGCACTTAGCGAGATGAGGCGCTGCACAGTAGTCTCATGTTACAGAACACCCCGCACTTAGCGAGATGAGGCGCTGCACAGTAGTCTCATGTTACACAACACCCCGCACTTAGCGAGATGAGGCGCTGCACAGTAGTCTCATGTTACACAACACCCCGCACTTAGCGAGATGAGGCGCTGCACAGTAGTCTCATGTTACACAACACCCCGCACTTAGCGAGATGAGGCGCTGCACAGTAGTCTCATGTTACACAACACCCCGCACTTAGCGAGATGAGGCGCTGCACAGTAGTCTCATGTTACACAACACCCCGCACTTAGCGAGATGAGGCGCTGCACAGTAGTCTCATGTTACACAACACCCCGCACTTAGCGAGATGAGGCGCTGCACAGTAGTCTCATGTTACACAACACCCCGCACTTAGCGAGATGAGGCGCTGCACAGTAGTCTCATGTTACACAACACCCTGCACTTAGCGAGATGAGGCGCTGCACAGTAGTCTCATGTTACACAACACCCCGCACTTAGCGAGATGAGGCGCTGCACAGTAGTCTCATGTTACACAACACCCCGCACTTAGCGAGATGAGGCGCTGCACAGTAGTCTCATGTTACACAACACCCCGCACTTAGCGAGATGAGGCGCTGCACAGTAGTCTCATGTTACACAACACCCTGCACTTAGCGAGATGAGGCGCTGCACAGTAGTCTCATGTTACACAACACCCCGCACTTAGCGAGATGAGGCGCTGCACAGTAGTCTCATGTTACACAACACCCCGCACTGTGTAAGTGTTAATGTAATTATTACAGCTGGATGATATTATAATTATATAGTGGGGATGTGTAGCTCTAGTTTTTGTTCCTGAATCGTCCAGCTATTGTGCTTATTTTCACCCTGCCTCTAGCTCTATTTCCCTGCCTCTTTTGACGTGCCTACTTTTGCCTATCATCTGCCTATTATCTGCCGTGTTTGTCAGATTTACTGGTCAACTTGTCATCTCTTCTAGCCCTGATAAGTGATGGTGTTTTGAAGGTGGTGTAGTATTGTACTGCGTGGGATATCCTGTACACTGAGTACTGGCTGAAAGTTGCTTCTTTGTTTAACGAGTAGTTACAGTTAATCAGTCGAATTAAAATAACATAATATGTAATTATACCTGCACAATGAGCATTTATAATTACATAATATGTTATTATAATTACACAGCACTGTTCATGTAACCGTAGCTTTTGCCGGATGTACAGCTTTACTCCATAAGCTTTCGCTCTGCGCTGTTCCTATGGCAACGTTTTTCATTTTGCTTTTGTACACTCAGAATTTGTTATTGTCAATTGTACTGCTCCGCTTTGCACTTAATTTCTCGTCGGCCGCAAAGTTTAACGTTCAATATTTTAAACTAAATTCCCGCACTGAATTGTTCGTATTTGTGGTGGATTTACATTTTAACGTTGTTGTAAGAGTGTTAATGTTAGTATCAGGTTACCATGGCAACACCATGAGTTACTATGAGCAGTAACAGTGTCGGGAGATCTACCTTCTTTTTAGATAGTGCACCACAGATCATCGTCACTGGGTGTGTTACATTACACATTACACATTACACATTACACATTACACATTACACATTACACATTACACATTAAACATTACACATTACACATTACACATTACACATTACACATTACACATTACACAGTTCGCTCAATTCGTAATTACTTGTCCATTCCTTAATATTTTCGCATGAAATTTTCAGAGTCAATAAAGAATCGTATTTTGACTTCACACTATTGATAAGATTTTAGATTAAGGCCCAATGAAAAATTTTGGGCCAATTTCCAAACTAGTTCTGGCAGAAACATTCTTCACAGTTATCACTCATATCAGGATGTTGCTGCACAATATTTGAAATTTTGAGAATTGTGTGACATTTTTGATATCTGGACTAGTTGTAACATAAATTTAATCGATTACCCCCTGACAGCAATATTACGTAATCATGGCCTGACCCCCCCCCCCCCCCCCCCCCCCCTTGACTTTTTTCTCTGGAAATAATTTTTCTTTACGTTTCATGCTACCCTGATCATGATGAGCCGATATCATTGTTATGATATCCGGCCAAGCACCTTTCAAACTACTTTGATATCCGATCAATTTCTAAATTTTATCACTATCAGAATAGCCCCCCCCCCTCCCCCCGTAATCAACCGTAAGCATTTGGAAACCCCCTCCCCTCGGCTGATTACGTAATATATGAACGACCCCTTAGCAAAGAAAATAAGTGGAAAATATAGTGGAGTGCTCCTTCATAAATGTTTTTATAGCCATTTAAAACCGTTTCAATGTATCGTGAACACCCTGTATTACATATTACATATTACATATTACATATTACATATTACATATTACATATTGTACATATTGTACATATTGTACATATTGTACATATTGTACATATTGTACATATTGTACATATTGTACATATTGTACATATTACATATTACATACCTTACTCGGGAATATTATAGCGGGTTAATTTATGACTGGGAAAATTAATAACCGGGAAAAATATGGCGGAATTTCCCAAAACCCGCCAAATTATCCCGGTCATGTATTTACCGGTGGCCGACCTTTCAAGTTTTTTTTTCAGAGGTCAACAAATTTTCAACCGAAATTTCTGTTTTTGTTACTTGTTAAAGAAGTTATTTCAATTTACAGTTACTGATATTACTCAGAAATAGAAAAAAAGACACGTCTAGTATTTAAAGGAAAATAAATCTATAGCAATAATAAGTCAAATCTTCATTAAAGCGTATTCTAATTCTCATTATCGCTAATGTCCCCTCCATTATCATTATTGATATCCCCCTGCTGCTGACCGTCAAATTCGAAGTTGTATTGTTGTCTTAACAAGACTTTCATTTTGTCCGCTAATGGGGCTACTGCTCTGAAGGTCAGCCGGAGCTTAATTTCCTGCCCACCGCTTGGTATTGGGGAACGTCTTGGCTTTGCATCTTCAACTGCTCCAGTAATCAATCCACCGTGGACCATGAAATAGTGGCACAGTTTACTCACTTCATGGGCAAGAAAAGTGAAAATCACGGTCCACCCTGAAATCTGATTTCTATAACCAAATTGTGATTTTTATAACGAAATTATGGTAGCAACCGCCAATAAAGTTACAGCCCTCCATCCACTGCTTCAAAAGTCTTCTCTAGCACATATGAGACTTCAGGTAAAATATGATGATCACCACCCCCTTGGAACCCCATAATCTGAGTCGGCGGGTTTTTTTATGACTGGTAAAATTTTTGACCGGGAAAAATATGGCGGAATCTTCCAAAACCCACCACTTTATCCCGGTTATAATAATCCCGAGTAAGGTAGGTAACAGGTCATGAATCACAGTACACTTGACACGTTATTCAATTCAATTCCAAGGTTTATAAATTATACAAGGTCGTCTGTTTACTGTACAGTGTACAGTGTAAATCTGTTAAACTAACTTATTGATAATTAATTTTCTTGATTAATTTACTAACAATATATTGATAATTAATCAATAAATTAACCTCGTTTTTGTTTCAGTGACGACGAAGACCAGTCCCCTGTGAACAATGACGAATTTGAGAATGTTTCCGACAAGTAAGTAACCATGGTAACACTACCTTATATAGTAATGTTTCCGACAAGTAAGTAACCATGGTAACACTACCTTATATAGTAATGTTTCCGACAAGTAAGTAATATGACTACAAGACAGCTAATGGTTCTTAACCCATGTAAGGTTTAATTTGGCCCACCTAGTTCTGTTACTCCCAATGTTGTGAGTTGAATTATTTCGTAGGACGGACATCACTTCTTTTGGTAGGAGCAAATCAGAAACGTCGTGTTACCAACGTACCCATGGTAACCATAGGAACCCGTAAGTTTTAGTTCCGCCTTGTCAGTGTGAACCGCACCCCACTTCTAGTTGCAATAAAAGGGAGGGATCACCTTAGTTCCTAGTCCCTAGATTCCCCCGTTGCTAGGCGACGGGGGTTGTTGTTGTTTTGGGCCAGCTGTGATTTGTTGATTGGCGTGATTTGTGGCCCTGTTTTTATTTAGATTTGCTGACGATTATCTTCAAGATTATCTTTTAGTGTTTCTTCTTCTGATTTCCAGTACTTTTCCTCTCGATTAGACAATACAAGCTCCTATACCCAATCATAACAACACATTAAAACATATTAAAATTCGTTACATCATTAATGTGATGAGTTGCTTCAAGTTGGCTTGAATGTTAAAGTTTCATTCGACTGATTGGCTTACACACCCGATTGTTAACTTGAGACATTTTGTATAGCATATTCTTATAACATATTTTGTATAAGAAAATATATTTCACTGTGAAACTTACCCCTGAAGTGATCTTCAACATTTCGATGTAAGTTCTTATTCTGAAATTATACGCTCTCTCAAGAAAAGACTGCGTTCGTTTTTATTCCTTACACCTAGATTCTGGGAGTGCTCAAACTTCAAAGTATGAGTGTGTAATGAAGTAAAGAATATTTTATTAAATTCTGTGTAGTGTTACTTACAAACTGTAATGTATTACATAGTACTGATGGCTATTTGCTAGGTACTGATTGCTAGGTACCAGTTGTTAGGTACTGGTTGCTAGGTACCAGTTGTTAGGTACTGGATACTAGGAAGTAGGTATTGGTTGCTAGGTACTGGTTGCTAGGAAGTAGGTACTGGTTGCTAGGTAATAGGTACTGGTTGCTAGGAAGTAGGTACTGGTTGCTAGTGAGTAGGTACTGGTTGCTAGGAAGTAGGTACTGGTTGCTAGGTAATAGGTACTGGTTGCTAGGAAGTAGGTACTGGTTGCTAGGAAGTAGGTACTGGTTGCTAGGGAGTAGGTAATGGTAACTGGTTGCTAGATAGTCCTGTCAGAGAGTGGGTGGTGGTTTCCATATATGTTTAATCACGTTAATGAGACTAACTTATCTGTTAGATATCCTGATTATTTTTCTCAAACTTTACTTCATAACCCTAGGTCGTGGGAGCTGGAATTGATCAAATTTGACATTTTTGTCTTCTTGATTAGAGGAGACAAATCCATGTAAATCTGTCTACACGTTGTGGCAATAATTAGAAGTTTCGCGACATAACGCAAAATCGATTAAATCTTAATTGTTGGGAAGAGAATGCCCGGCTATTCCGCAAATGTATAGTTGGTTCTGTAATCTGTATTGGTCATTGTATTGCAGTGTCAGATATTATATTCACTATGCATCTCACATTTACAGTGTAAAATGTAAATCTAATTACACTGGTCACTTTTTATCGGTATCTTGAACTTACATTCCAGCTCACTTCCTGTGTACATTACATATTATGACGCTGGTATTACTGTATTAGTCGCTGCTACCATTATTGTTCATCTTGATTCGCACTTTATTTAAAGTTAGGCAACTTCACTGATGTGGGCTGTTGAAAGTTTAGGTGTATGTAGTATACACCGCTACTGGAGTGTATGTCTTCTGTACGCTCTATATTTTGTAGTAATTCTAGCAAATGTTCAGTGTTTATCAAGACGGAGACCACTTTGTTTTGCTTAGTTATTTACTCGACAAGGACCGCTAAGAGGACCGCTAAGAGGACCGCTAAGGGGGCTCTATTTGGACAATCAGCACACCTGACTCCTGGTGTATTGTTTAAAGTACACTTCTCAATGTCAGTACATTTGGAGTGAATATATTCTCGAATATTCGCGCCGTTTTATTAACTGCTCCACAGTCACTTTATTGGTGTGTTAGTGTTTCGTGAGTGTAGTGGTTTAGAAGAAGTCAGCAGTTTTCAGTATTGCTGCCTTTTCTTTCTTTCCCTCCGTATAATGTCTATACTCTATAGTGTTGTTGCTTGTTTCAGTGTACTGACCAGCAATACATTATAGCACACATCAGGGGTGTAGGACATGATCTTATATTGCCTGACTCTCGCAATATTCGCATTGTTCTTTCGTTAGCTGCGCGGCCTAGCTTTTGTACCTGACTGCGCATACGTACTGTATGGTGACTCATGTACTGTTGTCTCTGTCAATTTATAGCTGCTTTCATCCTTATAGTGTTAGTTTTCATAATTATTCCAATTAGTAATTACAGTACTTTCCGGCTTTGTTGATTTTATATTTAAACTCGTATCGAAGCGTGTCTGCTCTACCAGTACCATTCGAACCCGGAAATTTGATCCCTCTTCAAAAACTGCATAATTGATTCCTATGAACACTAACGAACGTGTTTATAAGCCGCAGTCAAAAGCAGCACATTTAATTTTGTTACACTAACTTTGAGATTCTATACTCACATGGCCTGGGGGTTCTATGTGTCCCAAGTTGTATTATCCTTTGTATCGCGTGGAGTTGAGAATACTTACCGCTACCTTTTCTAAAGCTCACTGCTCCTGTTTAAATCTTGTACGTGCTTTGTGACACTTATCTCTGAAGAAGCTTTCGTTGCTTACTCTGCTTAGTGTTTTATCTTTGTAATAGTCGCATATTTTATAAACAGCTGGCCCGTGTGCATATTAAGATAAATATTTCATTGTTAACGGTGAGAGCCTAATACGAAGTTTTTGTTTCTTCGCACGATTAGTTTTGTTGCAGTCGCTGTGCTCGGATGAAGTTGGTACCTTAGATCATCAGCTTACTGACTTATCTTGACAAACATCTCAGTATAAAAATGAAATGACTGTAATCCTTCGTGATCTCTGGCGCCAACTTCAGCTGAAAACACTTTACTGATCGAGGTGGTGTCTGGCTTTATATTTCATTTTAACTACGTACCCGCATCATTGCTTGTAGAAGTAGTGACCATGTCCCGGAAGCACCAATCCAACAAAGGGCACAGAAGAGCCGCTAGTATCGGAACTACACTGGATAAAATGTTGAGACCCCAACTACCCCTCGAGAAGAGCAGCAGTGCTAACTCAAGTTTTGAGAAGGGGTTTAATCGGGAGAGAGGGGAGAGGACCCTCTCTGAAAGGTCACTGAAGGGAGGTGAGATGGTGACAGCATTGGCTCTAGAACATAGAAGGAGAGTGCCTTCTCCTTTAATTCTCCCTCCCCGACCAGCATCCTTATCACCAACCCTCGGGTTAGTTCCTGATAACAGACAGATCAGTCAGATGGTACTTAACAAATAGTGTTCATTGTGGTCACTAGATAGTGGGTATTAGATACATTGTGGTCACTAGATAGTGGGTATTAGATAGTGGTCACTAGATAGTGGGTATTAGATACATTGTGGTCACTAGATAGTGGGTATTAGATAGTGGTCACTAGATAGTGGGTAGTTAATACATTGTGGTCACTAGATAGTGGGTATTAGATACATTGTGGTCACTAGATAGTGGGTATTAGATACATTGTGGTCACTAGATAGTGGGTATTAGATAGTGGTCACTAGATAGTGGGTATTAGATATATTGTGGTCACTAGATAGTGGGTATTAGATAGTGGTCACTAGATAGTGGGTATTAGATATATTGTGGTCACTAGATAGTGGGTAGTAAATACATTGTGGTCACTAGATAGTGGGTAGTAGATACATTGTGGTCACTAGATAGTGGGTAGTAGATACATTGTGGTCACTAGATAGTGGGTAGTAGATACATTGTGGTCACTAGATAGTGGGTATTAGATACATTGTGGTCACTAGATAGTGGGTATTAGATAGTGGTCACTAGATAGTGGGTATTAGATATATTGTGGTCACTAGATAGTGGGTAGTAAATACATTGTGGTCACTAGATAGTGGGTAGTAGATACATTGTGGTCACTAGATAGTGGGTAGTAGATACATTGTGGTCACTAGATAGTGGGTAGTAGATACATTGTGGTCACTAGATAGTGGGTATTAGATACATTGTGGTCACTAGATAGTGGGTATTAGATAGTGGTCACTAGATAGTGGGTATTAGATACATTGTGGTCACTAGATAGTGGGTAGTAAATACATTGTGGTCACTAGATAGTGGGTAGTTAATACATTGTGGTCACTAGATAGTGGGTAGTAGATACATTGTGGTCACTAGATAGTGGGTAGTAGATACATTGTGGTCACTAGATAGTGGGTATTAGATACATTGTGGTCACTAGATAGTGGGTATTAGATAATGGTCACTAGATAGTGGGTATTAGATACATTGTGGTCACTAGATAGTGGGTAGTAAATACATTGTGGTCACTAGATAGTGGGTATTAGATAGTGGTCACTAGATAGTGGGTAGTAAATACATTGTGGTCACTAGATAGTGGGTAGTAGATACATTGTGGTCACTAGATAGTGGGTAGTAAATACATTGTGGTCACTAGATAGTGGGTAGTAAATACATTGTGGTCACTAGATAGTGGGTAGTAAATACATTGTGGTCACTAGATAGTGGGTAGTAGATACTGGTCACTAGATAGTGGGTAGTTAATACATTGTGGTCACTAGATAGTGGGTATTAGATACATTGTGGTCACTAGATAGTGGGTAGTAAATACATTGTGGTCACTAGATAGTGGGTAGTAGATACATTGTGGTCACTAGATAGTGGGTAGTAGATACATTGTGGTCACTAGATAGTGGGTAGTAGATACATTGTGGTCACTAGATAGTGGGTATTAGATACATTGTGGTCACTAGATAGTGGGTATTAGATAGTGGTCACTAGATAGTGGGTATTAGATATATTGTGGTCACTAGATAGTGGGTAGTAAATACATTGTGGTCACTAGATAGTGGGTAGTAGATACATTGTGGTCACTAGATAGTGGGTAGTAGATACATTGTGGTCACTAGATAGTGGGTAGTAGATACATTGTGGTCACTAGATAGTGGGTATTAGATACATTGTGGTCACTAGATAGTGGGTATTAGATAGTGGTCACTAGATAGTGGGTATTAGATACATTGTGGTCACTAGATAGTGGGTAGTAAATACATTGTGGTCACTAGATAGTGGGTAGTTAATACATTGTGGTCACTAGATAGTGGGTAGTAGATACATTGTGGTCACTAGATAGTGGGTATTAGATAATGGTCACTAGATAGTGGGTATTAGATACATTGTGGTCACTAGATAGTGGGTAGTAAATACATTGTGGTCACTAGATAGTGGGTATTAGATAGTGGTCACTAGATAGTGGGTAGTAAATACATTGTGGTCACTAGATAGTGGGTAGTAGATACATTGTGGTCACTAGATAGTGGGTAGTAAATACATTGTGGTCACTAGATAGTGGGTAGTAAATACATTGTGGTCACTAGATAGTGGGTAGTAAATACATTGTGGTCACTAGATAGTGGGTAGTAGATACTGGTCACTAGATAGTGGGTAGTTAATACATTGTGGTCACTAGATAGTGGGTAGTAAATACATTGTGGTCACTAGATAGTGGGTATTAGATAGTGGTCACTAGATAGTGGGTAGTAAATACATTGTGGTCACTAGATAGTGGGTAGTAGATACATTGTGGTCACTAGATAGTGGGTAGTAAATACATTGTGGTCACTAGATAGTGGGTAGTAAATACATTGTGGTCACTAGATAGTGGGTAGTAAATACATTGTGGTCACTAGATAGTGGGTAGTAGATACATTGTGGTCACTAGATAGTGGGTAGTATATACTTGTTACTGGTACTTAACAAATAGGGTAATGTTCATTGTGGTCACTAGATAGTGGGTAGTAGATACTGGTACTTAACAAATAGGGTAATGTTCATTGTGGTCACTAGATAGTGGGTAGTAGATACTTGTACTTAACAAATAGTGTAATGTTCATTGTGGTCACTAGATAGTGGGTAGTAGATACTTGTTACTGGTACTTAACAAATAGTGATATGTTCATTGTGGTCACTAGATATCGATAGTGGGTAGTAGATACTTGTTACTGGTACTTAACAAATAGGGTAATGTTCATTGTGGTCACTAGATAGTGGGTAGTAGATATTTGTTATGTAATGTTCATTGTGGTCACTAGATAGTGGGTAGTAGATACTTGTACTTAACAAATAGTGTAATGTTCATTGTGGTCACTAGATAGTGGGTAGTAGATATTTGTTATGTAATGTTCATTGTGGTCACTAGATAGTGGGTAGTAGATACTTGTACTTAACAAATAGTGTAATGTTCATTGTGGTCACTAGATTGTGGGTAGTAGATACTTGTTACTGGTACTCAACAAATAGGGTAATGTTCATTGTGGTCACTAGATAGTGGGTAGTAGATACTTGTTACTGGTACTTAACAAATAGGGTAATGTTCATTGTGGTCACTAGATATCGATAGTGGGTAGTAGATACTTGTTACTGGTACTTAACAAATAGTGTAATGTTCATTGTGGTCACTAGATAGTGGGTAGTAGATACTTGTTACTGGTACTTAACAAATAGTGTAATGTTCATTGTGGTCACTAGATATCGATAGTGGGTAGTAGATACTTGTTACTGGTACTTAACAAATAGGGTAATGTTCATTGTGGTCACTAGATAGTGGGTAGTAGATATTTGTTATGTAATGTTCATTGTGGTCACTAGATAGTGGGTAGTAGATACTTGTACTTAACAAATAGTGTAATGTTCATTGTGGTCACTAGATTGTGGGCCCCCCTTGGACCTTGATTTTTAGAGGTCCAAGATTTTCAAAATCGAATTAAAAATCTTTAAAGGCCTATCTCCAAATTCTGGCTCTAGAGTTCTCTTCTAACTGATCCTAAGAACATATCCTGAAAGTTTGAGGGTGATTGCTCAAAAAATGTAGGAGAAGATAGATTTTTAGACTCGATTTTCAGAACGCGCGATTGAAAATTGCTCGCGCAATACAATTACACATAAGCGCTGACCTTTGACCGGCGATAATTTCGGCTAGGAACAATATTTTTCCATGGGACCAAAAGCAGCGGGGGGAATGCAACGTCAATTAATGTCAGTATTCCATAAAAACCCCAAACTGACATTGACATTAATTGACATTAATTGACATTAATTGACATTAATTGACATTAATTGACATTAATTGACATTAATTGACATTAATTGACATTAATATGTCTTGAAATTTGAGATTATCATTATTCGATAAATATTCAAGATATTCACGTCTATGTAAGTTAGACCGGTTCAAAAAAACAAAATGTCCTTGAATAATTATGAGTATGTTCTTATCTGTTGATCCTTTGGTTCAAAGACCACCAAAAAAATTTCAGCTTCCAACTCTTCCATCTTCGGTCCCCACCGGCCACGCCCATATTTTATTGGTTTCTTATACAGGTAAAATATCTAAAATCGGTTTTTTTAGTATGAAGGAGTAATGTTAGCTGTTTAAGATTCGTTATTCAAATATAAATGTCATGAAGGCATTTCGTTTAATGTGGGTTTTAAGTTCTGATGATGTTGAGAACCACGCCCTTGGATGGCCACGCCCATTTAAGAAAATTAAATTTCGGGAAACCGTATTATTTTAGTTTTATTGTTTAATGATCTGAATTTTTTCACATTTCACATTTCCATATGTGATAGTAGTGAATCAATTGATGATATAAACGTTCTAAAGTGCTAAAAATATGGTAGAACTACATAATCTCTGGTCGAAAAATATCGTGTCAATTAATGTCAGTATTCCAAAATTTTGCAAAACTGACATTGACATTAATTGACATTAATTGACATTAATTGACATTAATTGACATTAATTGACGTTGCATTCCCCCCAAAGCAGCTGATAGATATCACTCCCCTCTATCAGAAACAACTATAAACTCGATTTCGAGAGAATTTTGATGAAGACCCCCCCGGCCCCCTTAACAAATAGTGTAATGTTCATTGTGGTCACTAGATAGTGGGTAGTAGATACTTGTTATCAGTGTAGGGTCGGCACTAAATAACTCAGGTGGAATTACTGGCTGTATTGTAGACGATGACTAACGTGAATATCCTCAGGGCCGACAGTGGTTGCTAGGTACCAGTTGTTAGGTACTGGTTGCTAGGTACTGGTTGCTAGGAAGTAGGTACTAACGTGAATATCCTCAGGGCTGACAGTGTATCCAACTTAAGTGAGGGAGTCAACGATGGTTTGAATAAACTTAGAGAAGATTACTTAGCTCTTCTTAGTGAAGTTAAGGAGTTGAGGGTAAATTTATTTAATATTGTTGGGTTAAAATGTGTTAGTTGAACTCAAAATAATTTATATTACTAAGTAATGTTAATAAGTTATTATATTACTAAGTAATGTTAATAAGTTATTATATTACTAAGTAATGTTAATAAGTTTGTTACTTTGAAGCACAATCAGAAGTAACGGTTGTTTCTCCATGCTGTACGTATTCACTATTCGTGTATCCATTGTTTTATTTTCCACTTTTAAAATGTGGCCCACCAGGACACGTATAAGGATGGAATAATGCTAGTTAACGCTAACCTGGCAAAGCAACATGATTACTTTGTGGAAGCAATCCAGGAAGGTAACATGCGGATACGACAAATTGACGATAGAGTTGATGACAAGCTCGATAAATTTCAGTGAGTCTGATTTATTTTATTACTATATAATGGGTTATTTTAAGTGATTTTTGTGTTCATTACTAATACTAGATTATTCGTTATACATAGTTATACAGTGTTATAATTTACACTGCAGAGAGTTGTCATCTTAAATTCAACACCTTGGCTTATTACATATTTGGATGAACAGCTTGGCACATTGACAAATGTTGTGTTCAAAACATTTCGGCCGTTTGCTGTCCAACTCACGTCGATTAGCCGAATTGAAATAAACATTGTTGCTTTGTGTTGTTCACATTAAAATGATACGCTAATTTGTCCTTTGTGTTGTGTAATATGACCTTTGTTAAATCATTAAAGTGAAGGGATTTTACTTAACGTTTGTGATGCCATGATATTGTAATTGAGAAGGCAATTAAAGGATAAGTGAGACCACCATTAATTTTAATGATATTAACGTAGTATTAGTCGTAAAAGGAAACCGTTATGAATATAGAAATAGAAGATGTATTATCAATTATTAAAAAATAAAAGTTATTTATAGAAAATAAAAGTGAATTACTTGAATGACCGGAGTAAAATATATCAACGGAACACATTTCAGTTACTCGTCGGATGAACGTATAAAAGAGATAGAAGAGCGACTGGATGACTACAAGTACAAGATGACCAAATTCGAAGAATTACAAGTAAATACTAAACACTAATATAACACTAATATAATACACTTCCTTTGTTTGACTCCTGGATCTCAAATTGTTACTTATGGAGTTTACAAATGACATTTTATTCCTTAAATATTTTCAATTTTAGGAACAGAAGCGGATGGAACACCCGTTAACGGGTAACGATATCGCCACCCGAGGTCGTGACGTCATGTCTTCTGTAATCTCATTGGGTCTCGCCTCCGTCTCGTTACTTCTCTTCTTGTTCACTACTGCTGTCGATTGTCTGAAAGTTTTCAGTGAAAACAACGCACTGTGAGTATCCGCTTGAGCTTTCAATTTTCGCTAATAAACTTTCACAATGTTATCGTGGTCACTTACTTATTGGTATAGTGACTAATCAGTATCATAGTGTTTTAACTAATGTCCATACTTTCAGATCGACAGGATTATCATTAGGACTGTTCGGGGTTATCATAGCAACTTACTATTACTTTGATACTGAGAGGACTTCATTATAGCACACTAGGTTTCTTTAAAGATTTTTCTTATTGTCCAGTTGCCAATTTCTTGGTCATCAACGTTGGTAATCCTGGTTCATTGTTTGTTTATGCCGTGAGATTGCAGCTCAGATTGTTAGTATGTATAAATTTGTATTTATTAAGACAGGGCCAAAAAATTCACTTTCTAATTTTCAAAAACGTGAGTGAAATCTAGTTGGAGTGTGGGGGAAATTGCTTTGCCGCCGTTAATTATAGTAAAATTTTTAGAAATTATATTATGAATATGAAGTTTTGATTTTTATGAATCGGATTTACATACTTCTGTAAATTGATCGAAATTGAATTAAATGATTGGTATTTGTAGCCAAAGCTCAATGATTGAAGTAGTTGGTTTTGATTTTATTTTGTACAGACTCAATTATCAGATATTATGACGATGAGGTGAGCTGTTAGTGTTAGTTAAAATCTGGGGATTAGATACGACATATGTCTTGAAACTTTCTCTAAGAGTTCTTTTGTTCATTTGATTATAATTTCGATTCCCAATAAAATGATGCCACATCCATGATAAATAATATCCACGCTGATTCCTCTTTTTGATTTTCAGATTGACAAATTTGTCTGAATTCAGTTGTATTGGTGTTCTTGTTACGTTCTTTTCGCCATGTTGAAAGAACTGATGACTGTTGTATTACTCCAATCATTCAATTATCATCCAATATAATACGAATTCTGCGTTCAATGATCAATTCTTGTTAGAACAAGAATTGCGCCGGTTAGCGGACGCTAGATTTCCATCGCCACGTAATTAATTACAATTAACAATTGTTTCATATTGGTTAAATTACCAAATTTCTTTGGGGCGTTACAGAGAACAAAATGGAGGGATTGCCGTTGTCAATTATTTGAATCGAAAGTTAAACGACCGGACACCGTAGTGTAGCCTGTGCGGTGATATGCATGATGCAGTTAAAAGGACATCTGTCCGACAGCGACTTTTGTCCGACTCAATATGTTACCAGAAAAAAAAGACATCTGTCCGAAATCGTGATCTAATTGCAATAAGACACATTTCCATTTTCCAATTAGAGACATGATCTGAACTGAGATATGACCTGAGCTGAACTCTACCATAGTTTATTTTCATTTGATGTCAAAAATTGGACAATAGTTTAAATGTTATATAAATAACTGATCTCCATACCGTTCTCCTGTGTGTAATGTAGGCTGTGATGTGATTGGCAGCTTGTTACAGCTTGTTAGTGTACGGCTAGTATAGCATGATCCTGTCCTCAAATAGTCAATCACGTATCGATGGATCAGATCTCAATGGATCAAATCAGCATTATATTAGGACTGTGGGAGCAACGTCACAAGATTACACGTGAGCTTGTGAAATACGAACGTGATTTGAAATTGCGATTGTGATCCGAAAGTTGGACAGATGTCGCCAAAAACGACTCCTATCTGACAGCGACTCTTGTCCGAAACCGGTAATTCGACTGTCGGACAGATGTCACCCAATCAAATCTGTGGTAGTTAATACAATGTGAATCATAATAAAATGTATCGTTCATTTCGTCTAAATATAATGAATCAATCTATGGGCAATCATGTTCAACATGATAGTCATAACATCATAATTTATACAACAACATAACGGATTACTAATATCGGGTTGCACCAAGCACCCACAACAAAATGAGAAGTTTGTATCGCATGAAGTTAACGAAAGCTTAAACGACAAATATCAATGCGAATCAAAATGTATAATAGCGAAAAGAGATATACATGCGCGCCGTACACGATTTATTAGCTCGATTCTTGGTATAGAGTACACCTTGACATAAAAGCATTGTAAAATGCGCGCGCGACCATCAAAAGATAATTTGTAAAGGAGCACGTGTTTGCGGAGGTTAATGCATGTTTTGCTTTGTGACACCACGAAAAACCTATACCCACTATACCCATTCTCAAATCCTACCACTTCTAACCATCTATTGCCTTTTTAGGCGATGGAAAAAATAACAATCCAAACCGAGTTTGTCAGACGCTTGGGTAACAAGAATTGCGCCCGTTGTTTCGTTGTGGCGGACGCTAGATTTCCATTCACTTCAACTACAAGCTCTAATCACAAATCAGCTCACTTCATAATATGAAAATTATGTTTTAAATAGGGAAACACTTGTGACTGATTCAATTCAATTGCCGTAGAACTAGAACTTAATTTTTATCTGTAATTTAAGAAATTGTAAGCAAAAAGTGAACTATACTCATGTTTTATAATTGTACACATCAGTAGACTGTACTAGTACTACGCAGTCCGCATGTCACATACAAATTGGTCTTATTTCCTAATACATTAAAATACACTCGCGCATACACAGACACTGACTACTGGCTATACATCACATCTCCGCAAGCAACTCTTGCGCGCCTAATTGTCTAGTTGTCATGGTAACGGACGGAAGGACTGACAACATATTTAAACCCACATACTTCGTTCTCCAAAATCCACGTTTTTCTTATAGGTTTATAACCTACCAGGACGCGCGCCGAGTTGGACTCGTCGACGGTAATATTTGAAACAAATATTTAACGAGTATCACCCGTTAACGTTTTTCTGAAAAAACGACCATTCGTAACCTTTCAGTTTCACAAAAGAGTGTGACTGTGAACGGAAAAAATGCTTCTCTGGAGAGTTATTATGGGCAAACGACTGTTTTGGTCACGTCACAGGCTTGTAAAACACGAATTTGATTGTTTAGGGTTGTAGTTAGGGTTATAGATAGCTTCGAGGTTAGTGTTTATGTAAAACCGTTTTGTTCGGCTGCGAAACCAAAGTCACGTAATAATTTTTGGGCGAGCGAATTAGTGAGAAGCCGCGAAAATGGGGAATAAAGTATGTGTCAAATTATAACCTACCGTTACCAAGACGCGCACCGAGTTGACGGTTTGTAGCGCGATGCACTGCTGGGCCGCGCTGCGCATCAAATAGTCTATGTAATAAGCGTCATGAGTTGGCACAGAATTTTTTGTCTCTGATTTTGATAAATTTGGTACCAAAAGTTGCCTCTAAGTGTGAATAATGCAAATTCACCGTGTAGCAAAATAACGTCAAGCTATATGTGGGCCTCCTGTGCATTACAAGAATGTACAAAGGACGAAAAATGGGTAATTTATTGCTTAAAATGCCTATAACTCCTAAAATATTGAATATTTTGAAATAATTATTACAGTATCGTAATGAGCTTAGTCAGACGCAACTTTTGGTACCAAAATTATAATATTTGAAGTACCAAATTTTTCAAAAATTTGTTCAAAATTTCACACAAGGGGGGACCCTTGTGTTCAGATTGAAAAATTTTGAAAATAATTTTCCTTTAAATCTTAAAATATTAGTACCAAAAGTTTCGTCTCGATGAGCTGATTACGATGCCATAATAATTATGTGATAATAACTGAACATGTGAAAGTTATAGGCCAAAAACTAAAAATTTGCGCGAAAAAAGCACGCGCGGCGAACAAGCGCCGTGTAGCATTTTTAGCGAAAATTGCTACACGGTGGATTTATTTTATTCACATTTTTAGACAAATTTTGGTACCAAATTTATCGAAATCGGAGAAAAAAGTTCTGTGCTCGCGCTTGGCGCTTATTACACTGACTAAAATACAAAATAACGCTTCTCGCAACCACTTCAGTTACCTGGAGACCCCAGGCTATTATGTTCATAAACATAGAATAAAGATTCGGCGGAATGACAGGCTGAGCGTTGACGGATGTTACTCGTCTAAATTTCTTCGAAGTAGCCCGCGCCGCTTTCTTCTCGATGGCAAGTGCTACGAAGTAGCGCGCGCCGGGCCAGATCATTAACAATGGTCAAGCTGAGCGCCGCCCAGTAACCACTTCAGTAGATCGACGAGATGCGCCACTGGGCCTCGCCGAGCTGCGAAGGTGGAAGGATTGGCATCGTGAATCAAGTTGACGGTCTTATTTGGAACAACTACTTAAGGGGCTATCCATCAGGGCAAGAGAATCATAATCGAGATTCAGTCACTGTATCCTGCCATATCTGTCCGGATTGTGATATCGAATACTCGACTCAGTTTGATTCTGATACAAAACCTGCCGTACATTGCTTTCTTTGTTTGCAAGGCTGCCATGATTGTGATTCTTTTGAACCACGTGTGTCTTCAGCTACTTCTGTTTGGCTTTGCAAAGCATGTTATGAAACCAACTTATCAAATCAGTCAAAGGCGAAATCCAAGGCCCCTGGCCCCTAGGAAATTGGCCTCTAAACAGCAATCTGGTACAAACACACCATCCTCCCAGAACCAGAAAAAACATGTTCCCCTTGATCAAATTGAGCTTCAGAAAAAGCTTTCACTCGTCAAATCACAGGAAGATGAACAACATTCAGTAAATGACGATAAACCGCAGCTGCCCAATCTACGGCTTGATGAGATCTGCAGCTTGCTTAAACTTGGAAAATGTCCACATGGTTGCTCTATCCAGAGCCCTTGCGCTTGCAGTAGCGCGCGCCCGCCTCCTGACTTGTGAAACAAGCGCGCCCGCAGTGGCGCGAAAGCACATGGGTAGGTAACCCACATGGTGTCAGTGGTAAAACTAGGTAGTGCGCCATCGACAGTGAGCCGCGCGTGCCGACTGTAGGATGGTTTTTAGCGCTAATTTCGGCCAGCACAATTTTCTTCAAACAAATTACCTGGGGACCTCAGGCTATTATGTTCATAAACATAGAGATTCGAAAAATTTAAAGCATATCCAACCATCAAAAATTATGTTATAGCTAAAAGCAGCGTATTTTGCCCCGTTTTGGTCACTATATCAACTCCGATATCCACCAAATTTTTCGGACAGTTGTGAAAGCCCTATATATATACTATTGGAAGGTCGTCGCCAATTTTCAGAATGATCTCATTCAAAGAACCGAAGATATATCCGAATATACGACAAAAATCAACGAATTTGGTCAAATTACGCGACTTTTACCGCTGTTTACAGCTACTTTTGCTCCAAAAGCCGCGCACCATCAAATATTACTGGGCCGCGCTCAGCCTGTCATTCCGCCGAATCTCAATGTTTATGAACATGATAGCCTGAGGTCCCCAGGTAACATCAAATATGGCACCTAGGCGAAACTCACTAATCTTTCCAAATAAAAGGTATACCAAATTTGGTATTGTGAAAATTCTCACAGTCTCTAGAAAACAGTGGTACAAATTTTTTTAAAATCCGAGCAAGTTTATTTTATCGTGCACCCCCTAGTAAAACGC